CCCCCCCAAAAAAGGACCACATGTGAGGCCTCCCCCAACTTTCTCACTTTACAGCCGATCCTTTGTTTTTGACGAATTTCGGCCAGCTCGCCCTTGCAGCGTTGCCTGGACGGTTACAATAGACGTATTTACGTCAAATACTCCGGAACCGTGGTTCCACTGCAACTTAGTGTTTATTGCGCTTTTTGGACAATTTAGAGCATTTTTTGATTTTTCGAAAATTTTCAAATTTTTCAATACTACTTTAAAAATTCTCCCACCTGATGCCTTGCAGGCCGGTCTCTGTCGAACTGAGCCTAAAGCTCCGTGTCTCGGACGAACAGTCGTGCCTCACACCGTATCTGACATGCAGTCTCTGAAACGTCCAGTTGCGGCAGACACCACGTAAGGCAGAGACCGAGACGGGCAGAGGCACGATCGTTCACACACCGAGTCTTGCAGAGACCAGTCGCTGCAGCAACGAGGCAGACGGCAACCGGGTGAGATAGAGGCCGAGTCCGGCAGAGACAGGGTGAGGCATTTACCGAGGCTGGCATGTACCCCTTGGGGAGAGTTTTGAAAAAAGTTCAAAATGTTAAAAATTTTCAAAAAATCAAAAAATGCTGGAAATTGTATGAAAAGCGCACAAAACCAAATTTTTTTGAAAATTTCAAAATGAAATTTTTAAAAAATTATAGGTTTTTTGCGCATTTTCGACAATTTCCAGCATTTTTTGAATTTGCGAAAATTTTCAAATTTTTAATTATTTCTTTCAAAATTCTCCCCACCTGATGCCTTCAGGCCGGTCGCTGTCGAACTGCGTCTGATGCACTGTGTCTCGGACGAACGCAGTCTGTGCCTCACACGGTATCTGACATGCCGTCTCTGAAAAGTACATTGCAGCAGACACCACGTAAGGCAGAGACCGAGACGGGCAGAGGCACGATCGTTCACACAGCGAGTCCTCCATAGGCCAGTTGATGCAGGCACCGAGGCAGACGGCAAACGGTGAGATAGAGGCCGAGTCCGGCAGAGACAGGGTGAGGCACTCGCAAAGGTCGGCATGCATCTCTTGGTGAGAGTTTTGAAAAAAATTACAAAATTTTCGAAAACTCAAGAAACGCTGGAAATTGTCTGAAATGCGCATAAAACAAAACAAAAATTAAATTTGTGAAAAAAAATTTAAAGTGGAATTTTTTTAAAAAAAAATGGTTTTGTGCACTGTTTGGACAATTTCCAGCGTTTTTTGTTTTTGAAATTTTTAAAAAATTGCAAAATTTCTTTCAAATTTCACCCCACCTGATGCCATGCAGGACAGATCGCCGTCGGACTGTGTTTGATGTGCTGTGTCTCTGACGAACGCGGTCTGTGCCTCACACGGTCTCTTACGTGCCGTCTACTTTAAGCCGAGGTGCGGGATTCAACACGTAAGGCAGATACAGAGAGGGGCAAGGACACGGTTGGCCACACATCGGACACAGTCCGACGGCAATCTGTCCTGCATGGCATCAGATGGGGTGAAATTTGAAAGAAATTTTAAAAAATATTCAAAATTTTCGAAAAATCAAAAAACGCTGGAAATTGTCTGAAAAGCGCACAAAACAAAAAAAGTTTGAAATTTTTGAAAAAAAATTGAAAGTCGAATTTTCCAAAAAAAAATTCGCTTTTTAAGTTTTTTGGACAGTTTCCAGCGGTTTTTTGGATTTTCGAACTTTTCAAATTTTTCATTATTTCTTTCAAAATTCTCCCCACCTGATGCCTTGCAGGCCGGTCGCTGTCGAACTGCGTCTGATGCACCTTGTCTCGAACGAACGCGGTCTGTGCCGCACACGGTCTCTGACGTGCCGTCTCTGTAAAGCCCAGTTGCGGCAGACACCACGTAGGCAGATACCGGGAAGGGCCGGGTCTGGCAGTGACCGGGGAGGCAGAGACTGGTTTCGGCAGACACCGTTTGACACGAAATTTGCAAAAAAGTCAAAATTTTCGAAAAATCACCAATTGATGTAAAATGTCCTTAAAGCTCACTAAAACTGATAATTTTAAATAATTTAAATTTTGGAAAAAAATTCAAAAATTTTAAAAATGTTCTCGTCGTTGATGTTATTTATAAACTATCTGAAAATTTTGAGTGATTTTTAGAGTTTTGAAGAAATTTTTTATTTTGATAGTCGTTTCACCGTAAACCCGGCCTGGCAGAGGCGGGGTCCGTCTATACCGTGTCCGGCATATCCGTCGTCTAGCTGATTCCGGTTCCCGCAGCGACCGTGTCCGGCGCAGACCACGTCTGTCAGCTATCGCTTCAGTCAATGTCGTTTTTTTGCCGAATGCGCATATGCCATAGAGAGGTTAAGTCTAACACATATTCCATTATTCTATGTGAATACTAATGAATCAGGCTTACCTGTTGATGTTACCATAGCCATCACCCCCATTACAGCGACGATGCGTGAGGCCATTGTTACAGGATAAGGATACGTGGTGCTAGAAAAGAAATCAAATTAAGTTTATGATCTAAGGCCATTGCATTAAACGTTTTATGGAGTAGGAATTTGCCTACTTGCCTTTGGAAGGAAAACACTGTATTTGAGACCTGGGGTTTGTAAAGCAGTCTGGAAGCCAGATAGTTGAAAATGATTTGCGGGAGGTCTCCAGATGGCAACACGTTAGGGGGGTGGTAAATGAAAGATAAAATATTTGTTAGTTTGATTTACATTTTAGGATAGGTGGTTGTCCAAACCGTTCTCATAAAGGACACGTTGTCTGAAGTGATCTTCTCCCACCAGCTGCAATAGCCAATGATTTCTAGTTCACGCACTACAACATAGGACAAGGCGACCCCGATTACTGAACGTATCAGAGGCGTTCAGACTTACGATCGTTCAAGTGACTGAGCTGTCGTTACAGCACATTTAATAAAAGGCATCTCGTAATCTACTGCACGCTGTCTGGACTGGCAGAAGCCATGCTTGCATTGAAAATGACGATAAGAGTAGTAATAGTAGGTTCTAATTGTAAAATATTAACCTCCTGTCATGCACGTCATGTTGCCTACCTCCTAGGAAAAAAATACGACAATTTCACAAATGGAGAATGGCGGTCAGTAGTGCGTTCTTCTTTCACTTTAGGGCGTTGGCAACGTCTAATAAAAAATAAAAAAGATTTAAAAGTATGCAATGCTCGCTTAATGGACGCGAGCGTCGAAATAGGTTAGTCTCAAGAATAGTTGTTCAAATTACTTACACTGTCAGTGTTGTTTTATGAGAGCAAATCTTGAATAATTTTTGTGTGAACTCTTCTCCTCTCATAAGCAAATACGAAATTCGCAAGCGAATGTTATCTGTTAACAGATAACTAACTATTCGATGTGGCTAGAAGCCAGAATTTCGATTCATGACTAATGAAGTTCCCGGTAATGATGCTAGGTGGCAGAATATTCTATTTTGCACGCACCGCCCATAGTTACGCAGTGCGTGTAGAAAACTTCAGTAGGATATCAATTACTGAAAGGTGAAAGACGAAGAGGTAATTGGTTACATGTGGAAATATGAATAAACTGTTCCCCGTTGAATTTAACGGGTCTTTCTTTTCGACTGGTGCTGAACGACCAAACAATAAAAACTAAGGCTTCTCCGGTCACTACGCAGAACATGCACACTGAAGAAAGTTAAGTAAAAATGCTCCAAATAGCTTGTGTAATATATAAATAAGAGTTGTGTTAATCGAATAAAACAACTGAATTCAGCGTAGTCTAAATTCAATACTGACTTAATTTTTCTCATTACGAACTTGCATTACAGAAACCGAATTATTACATAAATGTTGAATGGTCTACTGTGACAAGATTAAAAGCTATCCCACTATGCGTCATGTAGGCGCTTGGGGTGAGAGGAGGTACAGCTCCTACTCATTCTTGACCTCGGCACTAGATGAGGGTGAGTGGTCAGCGTCACGCCCCGGCCGGCTTTACCCCCGGCAAAGGACCCCGGTACCCATTGTAGAGGAGGCTGGGTGAGCCCCAGAGCCGGTCTGGACGCAGAGGCTAGAGAAAGAATCCTCTACCCCCGTCGGAGATCGAATCCCGGTCACCCAGTCCGTAGCCAGTCACTATACCGACTGAATAAAAATCGAAATCGGTCGACAAATTTTCGTCAAATTCTCTACAATCGATATTATCAAAATCGGTTGATCCTTTTCAGGCTTGTTTCGTGTGACGGACAGAGGTACTGTAATCGGAGTTCCGAGTGATTTCGAACTCTCCTGATAAACCAAAACGGCCCACCATTTTGGATATTAAAATCGAAAAAAGTCACAGACGTTACGTACAAACGCTTTATAAGCTGATACTTTGCCGTCATAATCGCAGTCTTCTTCACTGCAGATGCATTATAATTTTGTGGATCCCGAGACAAATTCTTGCAGAATCAACCCGAAGGGTTGTGTCAACCTTTAAGTCTGCTTCCGACACCTAATTATTATAATCAAAGGGCTGTAGGTATGTATGACTTGAGGTTTTCACGGCGATGAGTCCGAGGATGGCTGTCTTCTAGGTTGTTGCGACGTGTACGAAGTCTGGTACCAGTTTACCGACGTTTCAGAAGCCATTGCTGCCACAGTGAGTATCCCTCACCCTGATGATGGAGGCAGCAAGTGCCTCTGAAACGTTGGTAAACATCTACCAGTCTGCACGGAGCTGCCCAGAAGAGAGCCATTTTGTTGAGGGTTGCAAATTGAACACTGTAGCCTACCCGCATAGTTGCATTTCTTATGAACGCACCGAGTATTTTACAGTTAATCACTTTTTAAGACATCGATAGGTATCAATTTGAGTTATTTATTTATTTATTTAATGTTCTGTCTGACGACAGGTCCATATGAACAGGATCCTTCCATCCTTTTCTCTTCTCGGACTGGGACCTGTTCATATACGTTCTTGGCAGATGATCCAGAAGTGGTTTGCCATTGCCTTCTTCTGTGTGTGAATGGAGTAATTGTTGGGATGCCACGGAGGAAAACTCCGTGTTGCTTAGACCACGGCCTTGCCCAACACAAGTTATAAATTCGGGCCCCGCCGGGAATCGAACCCGAGACCCCAGGATTATAAGTTACGTAATGATAATGTAGACAATAAATTTAAAATCCCATTTAAATGTGCTCAGTTTTCACCTAATTAGCTTTATGTTACTTACGTGATAGTCTTGCCGTCCCTGCTAGCTCAGGAACCGAAGCGAAGATACTGAATCAATCGACTGGTGGTCTGTGGCGGGCGATCTGTGTCCCTGGGGACCTCTGACACCGCCCCATGGAGCTCATGTTGCCTATTGCATGATAACTAGAACGAGCCTGTGGAATGCACAATCGAACAATGAATCTGGTCCACACTTGACTTGTAAGTTAACCTTCTGCTTTGTTCCGTATGACATTAATATTTTCAAAGTTACGTAAGAGTTACTTAAGTATCCCCAGTCTGCATTTTTTATGCGATAAGCAAACAGCTCACACTCGTGTTTATCGACGCAAAAATCATCGCGGAATGCCGTGGTGACAAGGGGCCTAATTGACATGGAATAGAAACATATTCTTGAATAAATCTATCAATAAATTGACTATTTACACTCATCGGGTACAGCAGATTTTCTCAGCCTCTCTGATACCTGACCCTCTCCCCAAAATTCGCACACATTTTGATTCAATATACTCCAGACTAAGTAAAATATAAAGAATAAGTACAGTTCTTTCATCGTTGTATTTTTTTAGTGTTCTGTCTGACGACAGGTTCATATATCATGAACAGGATCCTTCCATCCTCTTCAGGTTGTCAGGGCCCTGCTCATACATATATACGTTCTTGGCAGAGATGATCAGAAGTGGTTTGCCATTGCCTTCTTCTGTGTGTGTGAGTTGAGTAATTGTTGGGATGCCACGGAGAAACCGGAGAAGCCCCCGGAGGAAAACTCCGTGTTGCCTAGACCACGGCCTTGCCCAACACAAGTTATAAATCTGAGCACCACCGGGAATTGAACCCGGGACCCCAGGATTACAAGGCCAGCGTTCTGACCGCTAGACCACCGTGGCGGCTGTATTTTATTACAGTCTGGAATTAAAACATTTGACAGAAAAACTTCAAAATGTGCAGCAATATGGCATAAAAATACATTCTAACAACTTGCGGGACTTCCGTTAAGAAACAATGGAAAATAGAATTTAAGGCCGTGGCTTGATAATTATTATGCCCTGAATAGGAAAATACAAGAAAGTATACAAAATGCTAGAAATTAATTCCACTTTCTCTTTACTGAAGAATGTATATAAATTATGTTTACAAATTTATTCGTGAATAGAGCATTTACTAAGAGACATAGACACAGTTTGAGAGTCATCTGCGATTTCACAGAGTTTTCGGTATATGGTATCAGCCTTTGTTTTCCACTGCACTGTACCCTTCTCTGTGAATCAGGTCAGTCTCAATGAACCCGCAGGACAAGGCACAGTGCTTGGAGTGGTTTATCGAAACTAAACCGGATAAACAGGTCCAAAGACGTTTCAGAACAACGTATCACAAGACGCCACCACCGATACGTACCTGGTACAAACAGTTTTACGGAACAGGAAGTGTTTTTGAACAAGGTTGTCAACTGTCCCTCTACCGCAGTTGACCACGTAGAGCGGTAGTTAACTGAGGAAAACTGCGACTGCACTCAACAACAATAATGTGCAGCAGCAGTGGTGACATACGATAGGAGACGAAACACGAAAATAATTCAAGGTCATTTGTCGCATTACCAAACCATAGATGGAGAATGTTCTAAGTCACACGAAATGTAGCCGTGGATTTCATGTTTACATATAATTTAATAACAATAAGAAAACATAACGATGGCTATAAACATATGCGTATAGCAATAATGAATACTAAGCACCAAAGCGTATTTGAACGGACAAAACAATAATTGTTAAGCCGTATAATTAAACTTGTAGATCGCGAAACATTAATCAAATGGATGATTTTTAGGACCCATAGACTCGAAGCCGAGGTCATAGTGATAACAAAACGCCAACATTTGAGGGACTATCTCGAAATAAATTTGAAGTGTGGAGATTATATATGAACAACACTAATAACTTACTGACCACTGGACCTGACTCAAATAGGCAGCCCAGCGTGACCAGTAGGATCAACTAGCATGGTCTCGACAAACTCTTCCTCGTAACTAACCCACAGTTACGCCGACTGCCCACAACAGCGCTGTCTCAAAACAATGGAAGGAGGCTACGAGCCAATGCAAAGCTCAAAATGTACAGAGCGTCCACGTGAGCCTGATGAACACTAACGAAATAGTGTACAGCATATGACGCACTCGCAAAATACAACGAGGTATGTGTTACAGCATCTTTCATTTTGTCCCTTAAGCGCACCAACTGAGAAGAAATGTACAAGTCTCAAACGGTTCTTGGAACACACAACGTTTGCACCCGTTCAGTTCAACTGCATCAACCGATGCAGGTATTTCCTAAACACCAAAGATCAGGGTGCACAAAACAACAATTTGCATTGTTGTATTGCATGAGTGTGGCCAATTTGCTGACACATTGTTGTTAGAACGGAGAAATGCAGCTGGCCCCGGTTGGAATGAAATTGTCTGATGCAAAAGATAAACTTGTATGGCCGCGAGGTACCATCAAGATGGGAGGGGCCAGAGTCGTGCGGCGTGTCAGCGGCATTGTTGAACTTCCGGGTTCTGTTACCACCTCCCATTCGGGAGGAAAAATTATTGATAAGGAAGATGTCCATGCCACGTTTTGGCACTTACTTCACAGGTAATTTACTGGACAGACTGAGAAGCATGTAATTGAGGCCTCAGAATAGAGTACAAAGAAGAGAGTACACGTTAATGTCATAAAAGTCCGTGAAAGTTTGTTTACAACCGTGATTTATTAAAACATATTGTTGCTGTTCAGCTGACAACAATGAATATTGGGTTTCATTTGCAGTAATTTGATCTGCAAATCTGTACGTAGAGCTTCACACTTTTCCCGCGTGAGCGCTGTACGTGACTCTTCCGGTGTGGTCAATCGAGGAGCTTGAGGCCGAGTACACGCCCTTGCCCGTAGAGGCGCCACTGCCGCCAACTCCAGTTGAGCCGTCATCAGACGATCCGATTCTTGACAGCAGGATATTTTCATCGCCTCCACAGGAATCACACCCTGCCCCATGCCTGTAAAGCAATTACAAAGCTTGGTTTTACTCTTGTACTCCATACCTCAAATGCAACACGTTATAATCAATGTCAAAGCAGCATATATTCAGTAGAATTTCAAATTTTCACGGCGGTACGTCCGAAGATGACTGTCTTCAGGGTTGAAGATTACCAACGTATTAGAGGTCTTTGCTGCTTCCATCTTGAGGACGTTGAGTGACAAACCCTGATGATGGAGGCAGCAAGGACATCTGAAACATCGGTAAAATTCTACCAGACTACACGGCGCAACTACCCGGACGACAGCCATCTTCATTGAAGGTGATTGTCTTGTGGGGAATTGCGGCGAAAAGTGTCGTAGACCACCGACGTTTCAGAGGTGCTTACTGTCTAAAACACATCGTTTTATGCGAGATTACACTGCGCAATATCCCAGAGGACTGTCATCTTCATACTCTCTGAAATCTTAGATGTTTAATTGTTCGATACCCTGCCTGTTTCTGATCCGTCCTGCCTCCCTGAGGGGTACCGTATTTGCTTACCCTACGAAAACCGCTGATTGCAATGTGCAGTAAATTTTATCTAAGAATTGAAGTAGTACAAGGTTCCAAGTGTTGAAATTGAAGGAAGTAACTTAACTAGTGATGAGAACTCGGTCAGAGGCTAAAATCCGGAAACCGGAACTCAATTCCCGGTAGAGGCAAGAGATCTCTATCTTCGGCACAGCGTCCAGATCGATTCTGAGGCCCACTCAACCTGCTATCCAATAGGTACCTACGTCCTTTCCCAGTGGTAAAACGCGGTCGGGGCGTGATGCTGACCAATCGCCCCATCTGGTGCCGATGTCAAGAATGAGTAGGAACTACACCACCCCTCCCCCAAGCGCCTACATGGCATGTAGTGGGACAATTAACTTTTTGTGAGTGACACATCAGTTGCTGCTAATCGTCACTGTGCACAGACTACAATCTTTATTTTACCCACAAAATTTCCTGAATGTCAAGGCCAGCCACTCATTAGCGCGTGAATGTCAAAACGTGACTGACAAATGCTGACAGTCCGCTTGTAAACAGCAGGTAACTTCAACTATGTGACGTGCTTAAGAGGAGAGACAGGGCAAACGGATCGCTTAAAGCCTTGTTACCTCAATCTTTACAGAGACGGACACAGGTTTCAGTCCACTTTCTACGGACACGCATCGCCATTAATCCAACCGTCTCAGGCCCAGTCTTCGTCTGAACGCGACCCTCAAGGAATTACATGGCGGTTAGAGCTACTTTCTGTAGTCCTGCCAGAATTTGCGCTGCGCGATGCTTTACATTGCGACACGCCTATTGGCTAAAACATGTATTTTTTTGAAAATAAAAAAGTTTTCAACAAGGCAGTGGTGTGTGAGCCCCTGCTGGTTCTTACACGTAACCAACTTCCCTCCTGTTCTGCCCCTGCAACATTCACAAACTGCAGTCTTCGTCTGAACGCGACCCTCAAGGAATTACATGGCGGTTAGAGCTACTTTCTGTAGTCCTGCCAGAATTTGCGCTGCGCGATGCTTTACATTGCGACACGCCTATTGGCTAAAACATGTATTTTTTTGAAAATAAAAAAGTTTTCAACAAGGCAGTGGTGTGTGAGCCCCTGCTGGTTCTTACACGTAACCAACTTCCCTCCTGTTCTGCCCCTGCAACATTCACAAACTGAAGGCTTTATTTGGGACGAGAAGTTTGCAGACGGAGAGGCGCACAGACAGTTCTCTTACGCTACGGAAGTACGGGACAGACAGAAAAACAGACAACCTGAGCTGAGCGGCACCGTTCGTTGCGAGCGCAGTGAAACTCACCCGCCTGCACCGCTCTGGCTGGAGCTGGAGGCTGAACTCTTCGAGGAACTTCCACTGGCGCCACCTCCATAACCACCACCTCTGAATCCACCGTGGCCGCCTCCTCCTGATCCACCTCCACCGTATCCGCCATCTCCAAGTCCACCACCGCCATGTCCGCCCCCAATTCCTCCTCCAACAGCTCCGCTACTGCTTGAACTACCGGAGCTTGACTGACTACCACTACCTCCGCCTCCATGTCCACTGCCTCCAAGTCCACCGCCTCCAAGTCCACCGCCTCCAAGTCCACCGCCTCCAAGTCCACCTCCATAACTTCCTCCACTAAGACCGCCTTCTCCTCCGTGTACGCCACTGCCGCCACCTCCAAGTCCGCCGCCTCCAAGACCGCCACCGCCATGTCCGCCGCCAATGCCTCCTCCTCCGCTACTGCTTGAACTACTGGAGCTTGACTGACTACCACTGCCTCCGCCTCCAAGTCCACCACCTCCAAGTCCACTGCCTCCAACACCTCCATAACTTCCTCCACTCAGCCCACTGCCTGCTCCGTGTCCGCCACTACCGCCGCCTCCAAATCCACCGCTTCCAGCATTGGCTCCACTGCCTCCGCCTCCAAATCCACCGCCTCCAGCACCTCCATAACCTCCTCCACTAAGTCCGCTTCCTCCTCCGTGTACGCCACTGCCGCCAACTCCAAGTCCGCCGCCTCCAAGACCGCCACCGCCATGTCCGCCTCCAATGCCTCCTCCTCCGCTACTGCTTGAACTACCGGAGCTTGACTGACTACCACTGCTTCCGCCTCCAAGTCCACCACCTCCAAGTCCACCGCCTCCAAGTCCACCTCCATAACTTCCTCCACTCCCCGTTCCCGCCCCCCCCCCCCTCCTCCAAATCCACCGCTTCCTGCATGTGCTCCACTGCCGCTGCCTCCAAATCTGCCGCCTCCAAGTCCACCGCTTCCAACACCTCCATAACCTCCTCCACTCAACCCACTGCCTGCTCCGTGTCCGCCACTGCCGCCGCCTCCAAATCCACCGCTTCCTGCATGTGCTCCACTGCCGCTGCCTCCAAATCTGCCGCCTCCAAGTCCACCGCTTCCAACACCTCCATAACCTCCTCCACTCAGCCCACTGCCTGCTCCGTGTCCTCCACTGCCGCCGCCTCCAACACCCCCACCTCCGCCTAAAAATTTACTGCTTCCTCCATATCCACCTCCTCCCTCTCCGATTCCTCCCACACCGCCGCCAAGTGTTCCTCCGAAGGACCCGCTACTGGAGGAAGAGCCGCTCTTGCTTAAGCTGCCCCCTGCCCCGCCTCCGGAGGACGAGGAGGAGCTGCTCTGGCTGGACGAGAAGCTGCTACTGGGCCCTGAGAAGAGAAGAGAACCGCCACCCAAGGGACCCGGACTGCGCCTGAACCGGCTCTCCTTCCCTGAGATTCCGGTCTCAACTTTCCAGGGCTTCAAATTGCCGGTCTTAGCCAGGAAGACCTCAAGGTCAGCCAGGTTAGGCCAAAAGACAAGAGATGGCATTGCGCCCTCATCGCCGGCGATCGGACTCGAGTCATCACTGCCATCTGGGGCGATTTCCACGAAACGGATGTAACTGGTGTCCGAAGCGGGACGGCTGGCTTGTCCAACGGCGGTCCTCACGGGATGGGGCAGGTAGTCACTGTCGTCTGAAAATTACGGCACAATAAAAACACTAATTGTCCGTGCAGTAGCCGAGAGTAGTCAGGGTTAATGGCGGTTTCAGTACAGAAACAGCCGCATTCGAGATATCGATATATTGAGAGTGAAGGGAAGCGGCCTAATCGGACATCGAGATCAAATACAGAGGAACGAGCAGCCTTTGGTAAAAACGGCTTTACAGCCAATATTATTCTTGATTTTACCTCAGTGGACCAGGATTTATTTCAGTAGCTGCCAGTTTTAAAATGTGTTTCGATACGAAGAAACTTTTATTGAAATACAAAGAGGAACAACTGTTGATTCTGTGCAGTGTGGTATGCCATCTGTAGTGTAAATACCGAACTTCAGCAGTAGATGGTTCGCGCGTCCAACCGAAGAGACGTGAATTAAAAATATCTACGTGCAGTTACCTCGAAGATGAATAAGCACATTAAGAAATTATATGTATTAATAAACAAACAGCCTTGCAGTTTAAATTTGATGGCACAAATTTAGTCACGCTGCTTTGCCTCTCACTTGTTTCAAACCAATCATGACAATTGCAAGCGGCCATGTTCGTCACGGTTTTGTGACATTGGAGCTGATTAGTTTCAGTACCTTCTAAATACAGCAGAAAAACAGGATATTTAAGTAAAATACATTGGATACGCTTGTTATACTCAGAGAC